CATGAATCAGCTTATGCGGTTTTCTTACAAAACCCCACGAACAGACATAGGCTCTTGCCACAATTTCTCTGGAACTATTTTGGGCTTCAACCTTGTGGCAGACCGGTCAGAACTTCCCCGCAATGGCGATTCAAAACTACGACATGGATCTGGGTTGTTTTTGGATATATTGTTTGCCCAGATCCAGGCTATCCGGGGATGTGACTTTTGTGTGGTTTACATGTATTGGGGGGTATATTTGGAGTGGTTAAGATATGTATGATTTTTCTGTCCCTGAAAGATAATATAATTAGCAATGTGTATTCTGATAATTATCTCTCAGGCACAGAGGATCATGGGAGGGATTTCCCTGTTTTCCTGTGTTATAAACCCCGTGTTGGGGCTTCTGCGTAAAAAGCCATGTGTGGCTCCAAGTAAACCAGTCTTCTCCCATTAAGTCCCATTATGCCTTGGCTCATGTGTGGGGAGTTATGGGACATCAGCAATATTTTACCTTTGGGATCATTTGTGTTCATGTATTTGGAAAAGGGCATCCGTGGCGGTGATAATCTGGCAGACTGCTACACCAGTTCTCTTCCCAAATCTCTATTCACATTTAAACAAAATAGGTTTTTAGTACCACTGCAATGTCCATTTAAGTGTAAGCTCTAACATGTGTGCCAAAATAAGGGTTAATTTGTTTGTTGGGATTCATGAGAGTACACTTTTCTTTTCCATTAGAGAAAGTGAATTATTAGAGTAGGACAGGGCCAGTAACTTGGCAGGAAAAAGCTAATGACATTTTAATGGACATTTCAGTGGTACTAAAAATCTCTGTTATGTACATATTTAGAATAGTGTGCAGGTAGCTTCTTTGTGAGGGTTGATTGATTATACATGAATATAAAATAGTCGGTAAAACATAACCACATTTTCTGCTTACTTCTCCAGGCCAGATGTAATGCAATTTTAATAGTTTGGCAACTATTTTTGCAAGGTACACTGCCGCTGGGGAAGGAGGACGATGCTCTCTTCTCCCTGTAACTCACCCTGCCACTGGGGAGGGAAGATGATGCTCTCCTCTCCCTGTGACTCTGTCTGCCACTGGGGAGAGAGACCGGTTGTTTCCTCTTCCTGCAAGGTACATTGCCGCTGGGGAGGGAGACCAGTTGTCTCCATTCCCTGTAGGATACACTGCCGCAGGGGAGGGAGACCGACCGTCTCCACTCCCTGTAACTAACCCTGCCACTGAGGAGGGAGGATGATGCTCTCCTCTCCCTGCAAGGGAAGCTGCTTCTAGGGAGGAAAGACGACACCTTCGGCCCTCTGGGATGCACACTGCTGCTGGGGAGAGAGGCCGGTTGTCTCCTCTCCCTGCAAAGTAAACTGACACTGGGGGGGAAGGATGACACCTTCAGCCCCCTGGGATGCACACTGCTGCTGGGGAGGGAGACCACTTGTGGGGACGGAGACTGACCATATCCACTCCCTGTAGGGCAATAGAGAGACCTCGGTCCCATCTCCATCTGCCATCTGTGGGTAGTCCCAGGACCAGCCTATGATGTCCTCCCAGCTGAAGGGTTGTAGGTCTGGATCTGCCAGCCAGCTCTCCGTCTCTGCCTGCAGGGTAGATTGGGGCTGAATTGAGCGGAGCAGCCATTAGTAATCCTGCTCCAGTTCCCACTACATTGTTACCAGGTGGGTCATGTCTGTTTTCACCTTGTCATCGTCAGCCCAAATATGCATGCCCATCCTGTAGTCATAGATGTCCCAAAATCTAGACCCCTCTGCGCTTCCGAAGTCAGTGTCCTCCTCCAAGGCATCCCATAGTAAACCAGGGCCATCATAATCATCACCCTCAGGCCTGTCGTGCTCAGCCGTCCCGGGGGTATGCCGGACCGTAGACCACCATAGGGCCGGGTAGGCATCCTCCAGCCAAATCTCCTTCCTTACCATGCTCTCAGCTCTGTTACCCACTCGTCCAGGGGCTTCTCTCCTAGGAGGGGCATCTGCATCGCCACTTGCATTTGTAGCTGCTGCTCCTCGCTGGGGAGTCTCTTGCCCCGCCAACGCTGTACGCCCTCCATGGCCTCATACCAGACGTCTTTCTGGACTGCATCCCTCCAGTCCAGGTCATCCTCCTCGTATAGGAACGCTGTTCGGGGACAAGCTGGTTCCATACTGCTGTAGCCAGGGGCGCTGTACAGGGACAAGCGTTGCCCTCAATTATAAGTCCACACATTACCGGTGTCTCCAAGCTGCTTTCCCCAGGGTAGATGCAGCCTTTTCCCCCACACATGAGACAAGACTCTATGTTGAGGTTAAAACAGGAAATCTTTAATGCAAAGCAAGCACTTACAATTAAACACACATTTAAACCCCCAACAGCCTCATTTACATACAATAGGTTACATAGAGCACTATAGTACAAGGAAGGGTGGGGTCAGACAATAGCAAGGGCTTGTGGGAGACTGAGGAGGGACAAAGCAGCCAGTTTAAACTGGTCTGGCAGTGTCCCTGGGACAACGCCCTGCTGGGGAAACAATAGGACAGGAAAAAGGTGGAGGGGAAGAGGTACATTTTCCCATGGAAGTCACTTTTAAACATGTCTTTTTGCAGGGTCCATAGTCTTTGGGCAGGAGGCTGGCAAACAGACCCCTCCAAAAACCAGTGGCGAGGTCATTTTCGCCACACTTGCGGGAAAATACTGTAGCATGGACAAGCTCCTTGGTAGCATCTTGCGTAAGAAAGGGGCAGATGTGGGCTATGTTTTTAAGATTGAATCTAAACATTTAGCTTATCTTTAACGTGTAACTGAACGGTAGCTAAATTGTACTACGAAATCCGATGAACATCTGTCATTTGTGAATAGCTGAATGATTGTCAAGTTGCAAAATTCTGCTACAACACATGAAATGGTATAATTCAATGCTTAAAGGGCAAATGTCCATAATTTCAACTATTGAATGAAACATTACAGATCACATATAATGTATTAACCTTTTTCATGGGATTCTCCATTTTTCCATTAAATTTATATTACGGATTTAGAAATTACATCACAATCCAGTTCTAGATTTGTAAACATTGCAAATGAGGAAGAGAAATAGAAACATTGATTAGTTTATCCTCTTCTCTGTATGCTTCCTCAATGCGGACATCCAGTTGCAAAAGTTGGAGACTAATAGACTTGTGAACGACAACAAATTTTAATTCATCAGAATCGATTCATGCAGAATTTTTGTTTGCTTGTTTTTTGACAGACCAAATTTCGTCCATGTGTCGTTTTGGTTCAGACAAAATGTGTCCATGTAATTGTTTCTCGAAAATGCGCTTTAGTCTACGGCAATGTAAATATTGCTAAAATATATGATAGGCACTAGATATGTGCAATTCGTTTCGGTCCGAATATGAATTCTGACGAATTTCGTGAAATTGGGACATTTGGGTACTTCCGAATGTCCAAATAGCCGAATTGCCGAGGTCCCAAAGTTCCGAAAATACAGAATTTCCGAAATGTCGAAGTGCTGAAGTGCCCAAGTTCCGAAGCACAGTATTGCCTAAGTACTAATATACTTACCCAGTGGAAGAAGAAGAATGTTACACTGTATACAAGTTTAAATAAAAAGTATACAAACATAGCCATAATTCAGCTGTAAGCATTTGCAACACTTACAACAATCAGGTAACATACATTCATATAAAATGTAAGTTACTTAGCCAGTCAATGTAATGACAGGAATGAATAAGTAGATAACTCCCTAATTCCCATGGTATTAGGGAGCTATCTACTAAAATGCTGAAAAATCTGAATTGGTCTTCAAGCCAAATTTACTAATACTAAGTAAAGATTACTCAGTATTAGTAAATTATGCCCCTGCTCGCAATACTACGAGTAGGGGCATGTCTATTAAACAGTGAGCAGCCTATGGCCACACGAGTGGGGGCTTCTAACCTGAAGGGGGGACCTATTGAGCCCCCCGGGCCCCACCCCTGAACGGAGGGTGGGGCCCTAAAGTAAAATATGGGGGGGACACCTATTGTCCTCCCCCCGGCCCCCACCCATGGGGGCCCTAAATTAGAAGGAGGGGGGGAACCTATTGTCCTCCTCCTTGGCCCCCACCCCTGAGCGGTGGGTGGGGGCCCTAAATTAGAATGAGGGGGTGTTATGGGCAAATACAAATATTTAAAGTTTTAGAATGAAATGTTATATTTCTTAAACTGTGTACTTTGTCTTTAAGAGAGATTGCAAACTGACAAGGTGTTAGAAATGGAACATATTGTTTTTCATAACTGTTTCTTTAAGCAACCTCTTACCTACCTACAGTGCATAATATATTTGCGCCATTTTGTCCCAGACGAATTACAATAACAATAATGCATAAACAAGCTTCAAGGCTATGCTATGACTCTTTCAGTACGTAATATACTGTGGTAACCTTAGTAGATAAGGATGTTCAGACTTTAAGATGCCATCTTGAACTAAGTAGGGAAAATTTCCATGACGTATACACCCTTTAGTTATGGACTTGTATTTTTGCCAAGTTAAGGGAGGTCCTAAAATGAATAAAGTAAAAGAAGTGTTACTTTTTCATATATGAACTACGGTAACCCTAAAATGGAGATACCTAAGGTATAAATAGGTGTACTTTTAAATGTTAAGAAACAGAGGAGACACTTTGAGACAGACGCTGCTCCATCTTAAAATGACAGAGAGACATGTTCAGAAGGGTATGTTAACCTATTAATGATATTTGCAAGCATTTAGTTTAATTTTATAAACTCTGCTATAATGGATTTTATATGTCTATGTTTATATTTTTATATACGGTAATAAATATCTAAAAAGACAAAACTTTATTGCTTCCAAGACAATCCTTATTTTATATTGTATTCTCAATTATTTATATATGTTAAATAGAGGATGTCTTACACTAACTATACAAAATTATAGCTAAGATATCTGCCCTGCTAAGTTCTATGCTTTAAGATGTTATAGTGATAAATAAGGGAACCACCCACGGTTGGCTTTAGCTCAGTAGTTACTTCTCTAACATTCAAAGCTGAATAATCCTCTCGGGGGTTCAAATCGCACGGGTGCTATCTAAACTTTTTCCCTCTCCATTAAACTGTGGGCATTGTAGAGCATTTCTTCCTTAAATTAGTGAACCAAAGTTCTCCAACAGTATTTAGGTTTTTTGTGCTCCCAGCATCTTTGATCATTGTTGTAACAGTAAAATATCCGTAGTGTGATTTTTGCATGTAAAGGTGGTTGATTAAAATGAGCAAAGTTTTTGTCTGGGAAAGAAATGAAAAGAACACCAAGTTCCAGAGTAAGATATTCTTGGATGGATCCGGATACGAATTGTAATCCAAAGTTAAAAGTAGTAATTGTATTTGTAATCCAAAGTCTTTAAAGGCTGTGTGTGTGTGTGTGTGTGTGTGTGACTGTGCACGTGGCTGTCTGCGTGTGTGTGTGTGTGACTGTCTGCCTGTGTGTGTGTCTGTGTGTGTGTGTGTGTGTGGACTTCTGCCTGCCTGTGTGTGTGCTGTGTGCCTGTGTGTGTGTGGCTATCTGCCTGTGTGTGTGTGACTGCCTGCCTGTGTGTGGCTGTCTGCCTATGTGTGTGTGGCTGTCTGCCTGTGTGTATGTGTGTGGCTGTCTGTGTGTGGCTGTCTGTCTATGTGTGTGGCTGTCTGCCTGTGCATGTGTGTGTGTGTGTGTGTGTGACTGTCTGCATGTGTGTGTTTGTGTATGTATGTGACTGTCTGCTTGTAAGTGTGTGTGTGTGTAAGAATGAATGTGTGGCTGTATGTATGTTACTGTCTGCCTGGAATTGTGTGTGAGTGTGTTTATCTGCCTGTAAATGTGTATGTGTGTGATTGCCTGTACCTGTGTGTTTCTGACTGATCCTGTGTATGTGACTATCTGCCTGCAACTGTGTGCATGTGGTGGATTTGACATTGTATATGTATAACTGTGTGCATCTGACTGTGGGACTGTGTGCACAAAACTCTGCAAAAATATACACCCGCATTCACACATAGGCCTAAATGCATATTTTTAGCTGAATTAAATAACCATCACACACAGCCAATAAACCCAGCACAAATATCACATACAACCAATACACGCATATCACACACAGTTAAAACACCCATTACAAATATATCACACAGCCAACATATAGCATACATTTCACCAGGGCCGGACTGGCCCACCGGGATACTGGGAAATTTCCCGGTGGGCCGCGGCACCTGGGGCCGGTCTGACAGCCCTGATCATTGGGCTGACAGCTCCTGTGCAGCCCTGTAATCCCGGCCGGCCATGTGAGAGCTGTGCGGCCGCACAGAGCCCCATGGGAGCAGGGGGAGCCAGGCGGCTGGCACAGCTCACACATGGAGCTCACACATGGCCGGCCGGGATGAGAAAAATAAAAATAAATTTGCGGCGGGGGCGGGGCTTACGTGCGGCAGGGCGGAGCTAGCGTGCGGCGCGGCGGAGCTTAGCTTCGGCGAGGGCCTGGCTGACTGCAGCATGGGAAGCAGGAAGGAGTTCCTGCTTCCCCAACAACCAGCCTCCAGGAGCTCCAAGCAGGAGGTAAGGAGCAGGTCAGTGTGTGTGTGTGTGACTGTCTGTGTGGGTGTGTGTGACTGTCTGTGTGTGTGTGTGACTGTGTGTGTGAGTGTGTGTGACTGTCTGTGTGAGTGTGTGTGACTGTGTGAGTGTGTGTGACTGTCTGTGTGTGTGTGTGACTGTCTGTGTGAGTGTGTGACTGTCTGTGTGTGTGTGTGTGAGTGTGTGAATGTCTGTGTGTGAGTGACTGTCTGTATGTGTGTGACTGTCTGTGTGTGTGACTGTCTGTGTGTGTGACTGTCTGTGTGTGTGTGACTGTCTGTGTGAGGTGTGTGACTGTCTGTGTGTGAGTGTGTGACTGTCTGTGTGAGTGTGTGTGTGACTGTCTGTGTGTGTGTGACTGCTGTGTGTGTGTGACTGTCCTGCCTGTGTGTGACTGTCTGTGTGTGTGTGACTGTCTGCCCGTGTGTGTGCGTGACTGCCTGCCTGTGTGTGTGTGTGTGTGTGACTGTCTGCCTGTGTGTGTGTGTGTGTTGTCTGCCTGTCTTTGCATGTGTGGGTGTTTGCTGTGTCAGTGACTGTCTGTAGGTGTGTCTGTGAGTGTGTGACTGCCTGTGTGAGTGTGTGACTGTGTGACTGTGTGACTGTCTGTGTGTGACTGTCTGTGAGTGTGTGACTGTCTGTGTGAGTGTGTGACTGTGTGACTGTCTGTGTGTGACTGTCTGTGTGTGACTGTCTGCCTGTGGGTGTGACTGTCTGCCTGTATGTGCGTGACTGTCTGCCTGTATGTGCGTGACTGTCTGCCTGTGTGTGTGACTGTCTGCCTGTGTGTGTGAGTGTGTGGCTGTCTGCCTGTCTTTGTATGTGTGGGTGTTTGCCTCGGTGTCAGTGACTGTCTGCCGGTGTGTGTGTGTGGCTGTCTGCCTGGGTGTCAGTGACTGTCTGCCTGTGTGTGTGGCTGTCTGCCTGGGTGTCAGTGACTGCCTGCCTCTGTGTGTGTGTGTGCGCGCATCTGCTAGTGAGGGAGCCTCTGTGTGTGTGTGTGTGCCTGCTAGTGAGTTTGTGTGTGTGTGTGAGTGCCTGCTAGTGAGTGAGCTTGTATGTGTGTCAGTGAGCTTGTCTGTAGGGATCATATGTGTGTGTGTGTACAGTGAGCTTGTCTGTAGTAAGCATGAGTGTGATCGTGAGCTTGTCTGTAGTGACCATATGTGTGTCAGTGAGCTTGTCTTTAGTGAGCATGTGTGTGTCAGTGAGCTTGTCTGTAGTGAATCTGTGTGTCAGTGAGCTCTTCTGTAGGGAGCGTGTGTGTCAATGGGCTTGTCTGTAGGGAGAGTGTGTGCGCATCAGTGAGCTTGTCCGTAGTGAGCGTGTGTGTATGACAGTGAGCTTGTCTATAGTAAGCTTGTGTGTGTGTATCAGAGTTTGTCTGTACTAAAGTTGTGTGTGTGCCAGTTACCTTGTCTGTGTGTGTCATTGTCTGTCAATGAGCCTATTTGTGTGCATCAGTAAGATTGTCTGTCTGTGTGTGAGTATGCTTTACTGTATAATTTAATTACCCTAAAAGAACTAATATTTTGAATTAGAAGAAGAAATGTATCAATAAAAAAAAAGTGTGTATATATATATATATATATATATACTGTTGCATCACCAGGGCTCCAGTATCCAGTATATATATAGGCAATTGAAATAGTTGGCTGCAGTCTCGGATTTCCTTAAAATTTTACTTTTATTTAAATATTTAAGAGAAGATCAACGTTTCAGTCCCTCTTGTGGACTTGCATCAGGATCATGACGAAAGTCCACAAGAGGGACTGAAACATTGATCTTCTCTTAAATATTTCAGTAAAAGTTACATTTTCAGGAAAAGAGTGCAGCCAACTATTTCAATTGCCTATATATATTTATATATATAAAAACACCTTACATAGCACAATGACTTATGGGGCTGGCATAGATTTTTTTCCAGGGCTGCTTCGTATCCCCAGTCCGGCCCTGCATTTCACACACAGTCATCACACCTATTACATACACAGACAACACAAACATTACATCATATTATAGTGAGATGTATTACAGTGGAGCTCTGGTATATAAAATGCACATTAGTCTATGTTTTATAGTTAGGGAGCTCGGTGATACACTAATAGACACATTACTTAGAGTTGTATTGTTGTGTAGTTTATGATCTTGTCACAGAGCTCCACATTACTGGGAGTTTTATTGTTGTGGAGCTCTGTGATAAATGGAGAAGCAGCGCATTACTACAATTTTTTATTAAAAAGAGGTAAAGGTAAATAAGTATAATCCAGATCTCTAAAGCAAAACCAATCACAGTACTATGTGACATACTTAGTCTGCTCCTCTGTAATGTAGGGGAGGCAGTCTGGCACTTCTGGCCTGCACTTTTGTTGGCTGCAGACCATAAGTAGCTGTCTTCCTAGCTCAGGATAATCAGAGCGCTGCCGCAGATTACCACAGGACACTGCAAGTCCCTGAGCTTGCGAGACAGTTACACTTGGTCTGCACCCAGTGGAGGGGCAGACCAGATTCAGATCAGCATGCACCTGAATGGATATTTGTTATTAAATCATTAATCATTTAATAAATTCCCTATACAATCACTACACTCCTATACACACACACACTATACATGGATGACAAGGTGACAAGGGGGAAGGGGGGGTGCTGTGAAGATTTTTCGCAGCATCCTCCTAGTCCTGCTGCAGAGAGTGTGTGGGGAGGGAGAAGCAGATCACCCTGGTAGCAACTGAGAGCAGTACAGTACATCTGGCTAGACCAGTGAGATAGGGGGTTGGTCACAAAACAATTATTAAAAGTGATGACATTTTTTTTTAGGTGTGCCTACTTTGGGGCATGGGCAGGAACTCTATCAGCCTCTATGTTAATCTAACCATGTAACACAACCTAAACTATATTCTTGTGCCATATGAAAGATAGATCATGATAATGATTAAAATTGTATACTCTAGTTTTGCAGCCCTCATTCAATCCAGTATATAAAAATGTACTGATTCCTACACTCCTACACTTTAAAAGCCATGTCTTTTCCAATGCTAAAACTGGTGCTCTATAGTAGTAAATGGAATGCTATAGTACTTGTTAAATCCAGTGAGAGGATTCTAACCAATCCTAGCCGAATTACTGGCAGGTTATAAAAGCAGAGCAACTGCAGCCCATTTGTTGCTAAGTAACCACACACTATCTGTCTGGAGTGTAATTAGCAAGTACCAGTGTTTCTGCTGAAGGCTTCAAATGTAGCATCATGCCCCAATTGTGCTGCATGCTTACCTTCGTAGATATGATATACACTCATGTCTCACCTGTCCCAATGGCCTTTCGAACAAAAAAAGCTTACAAACTAAGCTCTCAAATCCTACTGCATCTGTTTGTTCTTGTCTATCAAACTGTTTTACTTTTTACCCGATGTATCCAGTACTGCCAAATTTGTTGGCATTATATAAATAAATTATAATACTCACTTTCTTTCTGCAGTTAAATCTCACACGAATCTGCA